AGAGTGGTGACTCGAGAGTGACTTGGACTCGTGAATTGGTGACTTGACTACAACACTGGCATTAGCTATATTTACCTTGTTTACACTTAGCGGTCCTAAGTGTTAATCTGTGTATGTTACCCTTGCATGTATGAGATCATTAAGTGCCTTGTAACTTTTGTTTTATAGTTTCACTCAGTTTGAATGTCAGTGGACTGCAAATAAGTCAATAAAGGAGCATGGCTGCTCATTCCCTGACTCTCAAAAGAGTTTGGCTGGCTGTTTAATCTATGTTCACACTGAGACAGTACAACACATAGAGAGAACAGTACACCTATTGTGTAACAGGGTGCGTACGGGTGCTGGAAATCCTTGAAAATGCTTGAAATTGTACGAGGTGTTTTCAAGGTTTGAAAAGTGCTTGAATTTTGGGAATGGTGCTTGAATTTGGGATAAAGTGCTTGAAATTGTAAATGCTTTACTTCGCTTTTTAGATTAAAAGAAAATAAAGAACTCGGAGCGCGCTTAATTGCTTCGCTTTTACATAAAACAGCTCCGCTCCGACCTTCCCGCGCTATGCGCGTGACCTGCAAGTGTTTTTGTTACGTGTGTGACCTGGGCATTCTGATGAGAGTGATAGATGACAGTATGCCAGAAGGTTGCCGTTTCAACGAGCGTTGGCTAGCAGAAGACAAATACAAGCCATGGCTAAGACGAGGGTCAAGCGAAGCCCAAGAGTAGCCTCCTGCAAAGTGTGCAACAATAACGATGCGAGAGTCTGCGCTGACGAGCCACACACCACACAAAAGGTACGCTGTAGTAGAACATTTTAGATTAGGCCATCGTTGCATGTAAAATACATGACACTTTTCTCTGTGCGCGGCAAAACAAGCTCGCCAAAATGGCTTCACTAGTCTGGCAGTATTTTAAGTGTCCGAAAATGACAATAAAATAGCGGTATGCAACGTGTGTGAAGCAGAAATCCTGCAGCTCCACCCGCTGTGACGGACCGGTGAGCGGAGCAGAACACACATTAAGAGTTAGACCTAACACACTTAGCTATTTCATCTACCTCCGGAACAAGCTAAACTAGTTATAAATATATTTATTCTTCACTGTCGGGTCGCTCATTACTGGATCAGTGAGCTGCAGGAGATACTGACGGGCTGTCAGGAGAGAGAGAGAGGGGGAGAGAGGAAAAGAGAGCGATATCGGTATCGGCCGATACTGATTCCGGCGATCGGCTCCAAAATTGGCGATCGGAGCATCCCTAATAATTGTATATGATATGTTTTATAATGATTGATCATGAAAGTGTTATCAAAGCTGGTAAAGTTGCAGCTAGTTTGAATGACTTTGTATACTACAGAGTAGCTTGTGAATTTACTCCAGGTGGAACTAAAGTCTGATTTAACACTTGATTATATTTCACATCATTCATCCACATCTGTAAAGTAACTAAAGGTATTAAATACATGTAGTGGAGTCAAAGTACACCATTTACCTCTGACTTGTATTTACTGCCAACCTAAAAGTACCTCAAAAATAGTAATCAATAATATATTGAAAAGTTATTTGGCTGATTGTTTTATATTGGCTCAGCCAGGTTATATGGGATGCCCAGTCTACGTACAGATGGGTCACACATTTTGAAATATTAAACTTAGTTTTCTTTTCTAACATTTTTAATGTTTCATCCTCATGTAGAATGCTATTATGAAACACACATTTGGTTGTTTATAGCATAAAGAACATCTGATTTAATGTGAGGTAGGGAAATAATCATTTGAGTATAAGTATGTGTATATAAATATGTAATTTACAACAGCTGTAAGATGCTTGAAAAGCTTGAAAATGCACCTTGAAAATGCTTGAAAAGTGCTTGAATTTGACTTTGGAAAAGGTGTAAGAACCCTGTGTAAGTACATACAAACAGGTCACACAGTATGATCACAAATAGATAAACTCTGTTAAAAATCAGTTTTTATTAAGAAGTATACAGGCTGCATATGTGTTCTCAGCCTTGGAGAAACTTGACATGTTTTGGTATGTGTCTGAACCTCTCTTCAGTGGTTCATTAATAAAACAGATATTTCAACGTGTGCCTACTTTGTTAATTTATTATTGAGATTAATTTCAGTAGTTGTGTGCTATAATGTATTTACAAAGTGTGAAGAGGAGGCAACTTTAGAATAGGGAATCTGTTCAGGTCAATTAGAGGCAAATTACTAGCTTATTGGTTATGAACAAGACTTCACTTTAAAATAGGGAACATATTCTTAGATAGAAATACCTAATTAGAGTCAAACTACTAGCTTATTGGTTATGAACAAGACTTCACTTTAAAATAGGGAACATGTTCTTAGATATAAATACCTAATTTTAAGTTATTTAGACACAATTAACACTTATATTTTCATGTATTGTTACATAAGAATAGATCATATTTGTTAAGTGTTATTATGGGAGAATTACTATTCTTGTGGTACTACTGGCTATTGAGCAGAGCATATTAAGACCCAAACTCATGTACAACAACTTCCTTACTTGCAATAAATAAGCTCCAATTAGAGGGTTATTGAGGAAAAACTCTCAACTAATGGCCTATTACTTGTAGAATATGGTCATGTAGAATAAGGCATTAATAAGTGTTTTATAATTACTAATAAAGAGCCAATATACTGCTAATATGCATGTTAATTAACAGCTAGTTGATGGTTAATTTGTGTACCTTAATATAAAGTGTTACCGTTTTTTTATTTTTTGCAGTAACGGGCCGTCTCCACGGCAGCGTTAAAAAATCTTGAAACACTTCTGCCCATTCACTTTGAATGGGGTGACGTCACTTTTTTTCGCTTTCGCCGAAATGCATTGTGGGCAGGCGAGCGGAGATTCTCAGGATTTTCAAGATCCAAAGTTGAACAATGTTCAACTTTTGAAGCTGAGGAGGAAGCGTCAGCCAATCAAATCCCGTGTACGCAAATCTGACAGTTCAAGCTCTAGCCAATCAAACGGCGTGTATGCTGGGAGAGACATACCGCAGATCATTTCCTCATATTCCAAAAAATGGAGGAGAAATTAGCGGTAGCGAATCAATCACCCGGTGCTTTATGACCAGACCTACCGGGATATAAACCGGAGGAGCCAGGCATGGAGGGAGGTGGCAGAGACAGTGGTATGTTTTCGCCTGTTTTGGGGAGTTTATATCCAGTTTACTTCGGGCTTTTTGGCTTCGTATGTCGCGGGTGGGAGATTCATGTGATTGGTTGATCGCAAAAAAATCCCCAAGCTTCAGATACGCCCACCTCCAAGATTTTTTTAACGCTGCCGTGGAGACGGCCCGTAAGGGCTCATTTAGAAGCTAGCATTAGCCACCTGTTTGGCTAGCTAGCTGACCAATGTTAGTACAATGTAGTAGTCATCAAAGAAGCTAGCACTGTTAGTTGTATCCCTCATCAAAACAAAGAGGACTCTGGAGCGAAAGTATTTGTAATTATTATAATTTATTCGACACTTGGATAATAATATTCATGATATTTAGTCAATATTTTATGTCGCTGGTCATTTGTTATTTTTACCATAAGCTGTCATGAAGAAGGAATGCCATAATTTAATGTCATGATGTTTATATGTGAACAAATTACACAGTATATTACAACTCAGTACACATTAGCCTAATTATTAACATGATGTTGTTCAACTTTGTTCAAAATGGATTCATTTAGCATTGGCGTTTAAGTGTTACATTCTATTATACAAAAACCCCACTTGTCATTTGTGTTTGAATATATTGAATATTCACATACATATGAATATAGTAAATAGCTTCAAACCATTGGAAGTTTATGCACTATGTCAAGTATTCACAGCATATTAGACTGTATCTTCTATCTCTCCAATTGCATTTAATATTGAGTATTAACTTAATAAGATATTTGTGTATTTGCAGAGAAATTGATCAACTGACAGTACATTTTTGAGATAATCCCTCTATGTTTAACTTTCATTTGCAGAATGACAAAGCCCAAAAAAAAACTGTGCCCCTCCTGCCAGGCCCCAAATTCCCTTGGGCGGAAAACATGTGTCGCGTGGGTCTGCCCCTGTTAGAGCCATTTTCATGTAGTTATTATTGTCTGATAGTTAGGCTTGATAATAATATAAATTAGATTAAACTCACCATCTAAAGGTATTTTTTGTGTCATACTATGGTTTAAAATGTATTAATTTAAGGCTCACTTATTTGTTATGTGCGTCAGTATCACGTGCATGGCTATATGCCTATATATGGTAGGTTGATAGGACACAGCTGATGGTGATGAGACGGGGAAACGGAAAAGTCTTTTGACCGTGTTCTTTTTGTTCTTTTGGAGACTGTTTAGCCGGCTAAAATGATTGGTCGTGCTTTTTACAGTACTACGGCTTCCACAGATGACATTTTTTTATGGATTTTTTGTCAAAGCACTTAAGATATTAATTGCTATCGGGATGTTAAGAGCATTCCATGGAATATAACAAAAAGTGTATCTCGAGTAGTGCTGGGGGGAAACGATTATTTTGAAAACGATTAATCGGGCGATTATTTTATCGATTAGTCGACTAATCTAACGATTATTTTTCTGTTGTTCGATTAACACATACATACATAATGTATCTCAAATAAATACCAAAACATTCTTAATAATATAGTTTTTTTTTAATTGCACAGCAAAATAAGAAATATAGAATAAAATTATACAAAATAAAAAGGCCAGCCTGTTTACTCTTACAGTCCAACAAAAAATCTCTTCTGTACAAAATATAAAAAATGTAGTGCAAAAACAAACACTGTGCCGTGCACAGTACAGAAATTCCTGAGTGTTTAACACAATATAACAGTCCCAACACAGAACCTGATGCACAATGAAACTGACTCTCTTAACTACTATTCTGGCAGCTTACATGCTAATGAGTGTGCAATTACTGCAATATAAGTACTGGCCACTTTCCTCCTTCTCTCCTCCCTCACAACTCTACTCCTCCTACTATGAATTACTGTGGAGGAATGTGAGCATGTCCACGTGTTCTTTGGTGAGGCTTGCTCTTTTTTTGCTCACAATGGTCCCTGCTGCTGAGAACAGACGTTCAGAAGGTGTGGATGTTGCAGGGGCAGCCAGATAAGATCTCGCCACAACAGCCAGGGAGAGGAACTTTGTTTCATTTTCTTTCCACCATTGGAGTGGGTTTTTGTCCTTTGGAATGGCTCTCCCCCCAAAGTACAGAAGCACCTCATTCCTGACAGCATCTTCCCTCTGGTCATGGGCTGGGTCGTCATCTTCCATCTCCTCCTCCTCATCTGACCCAAGCAATGTGTCCAGGACAGACTTTGGCTTCTGTCCTCTTGAGTGATCTAGCTGGCCACTGGGGGAGTCAGGCTCTTCCCTCACTCGTACTCGTCTGGCATCAAGTGCAAGGGTCTGAAGTTTGATTTTCACCTTCAGGATGTCGTCTGTGGACAGGAACTTGAGTTTTCGGAATCTCGGATCAAGGGCCGCGGCGAAGATGCACACATTCTTCCCGTCCTCGTCATAAGTAGTCTCAACCTTCCATCTGAAAAATAATGGATTTAATGTGCACACTTTAAATCAAAGAAATTCAAGGTGCTTCAAGAGAAAGATAACAGTAGAATCCATAGCTCTACATGATAGAATCACAATGGGAAAACATTGATGCAAACTGGGAAAGTTTAATTCAAATATTCAGTTAGTTCACTATAAGAGATTTAAAGAGCTGAATATGTAAACTAACCTTGAAGCAATCTGTGCTGCGGCTGCAGTTTGGAAGGTGGCAATTTGAGCAGACTCAAAGGCTTTCTGCATGGACTGCTGTAGGCCTTTCACCAGCGGAGGCAGGACAGAGACCGTGACATATGCCTCTCCACTCAGGAAGACGGTGGCTTGCTCGAAGGGCTCAAGTGCTTGACGTAGGTCCCCCAGGATGCTCCATTGGTCAGCTCTCATATCCAGGTAGTGTTTTGCTGCCTTGGTGACCTCTGGGTCTGAGAGGGTTGCGGTTACAGGCCACCGCTGCTCAAGGAGGCGTTTGATCATGTAAAAAGAGCTATTCCATCTGATGGGTACATCCTGTGACAACTTGTGTTGCGGTGTGCCCATTTGCTCTTGTTTGAGTTTCAGCTTCAGGGTGGCGACCTCGCTGCTGTGGAAGTATGTGACGAGGCTCCTTGCTGCCCCAAGTGCCTTGTTGATTCGGGGCTCTTTCAGTGCATGGTTGACAATCAACTGGGTGGTATGGCCAGCACATCGAAGTGAGGCAACACCATGCTTCTCCTCAAGGATTCTAAGGGCTTTCACAACGTTCGCTGCATTATCGTGGACAATTGCCTGGACATCATCATGGAGAGAAAAGTCAAACTTCTCAGCGACCTCCTCAATCCAGAGAGCGATGTTGTCACCAGTGTGTCTGTCCTCAAGGGGCTTTGTGCAAAGAACAAATGAGACCATCTCCCAGTTTTCATTAATGTAGTGGCAAGTCACTCCAAGGTATGCCTCCGTGGCAATACTTGTCCAGGCATCGGTGGTGAGCGTTATCTTTGAGGACCTCTTCTTTAAGTTTCCCTTCAGATCGTCAAGAACACGTTGGTATGCTTTCTCCAGCTGCTTGGTAAACCACCACCTGGAGGGACATTTGAAGCCTGGGCAGGCATATTCAATCATATCTATGAAGGCTTCACCCTCAACGAGAGACAAAGGCCTCATGTCTTTGACGATCACCTGTAAGATAAAACAAATATATTATTATTATTAATAACAACACAGCACCTTTCATAGAGCTATGTTGCTTACAGTGTAAGAAGCTTAATTATTACACAATCCAAACAAGGACACAAATAAAAAGGCCAAGTGAAGAAACACCTATAAACTAGCTAATAAATCAGGACACAATAAATGGGATCAGGACAGCCATTCCCTCCTAAAAGATGCTCAAAGGAAGCAAATAATTACTTACTCTCAAGATTCTTTTGCTGAGTTCGGCTGCCTTCTGTGGAGTGCATTGCGCCTCTTTCCCAAGATAGGACGGCAAGGTTCTTTGCTTTGTCCTAGAAAACACAACAGCAATGAACAATGGAACAACAGCTATGACAGTGGGGCATATTAAATCTACTCTTAAACTCATTGCAGTGCTATGGTATAATTAGCTTACTTGAAGGCTAATGTGGTTACTTTTTAAACAATGTTAAGTCCAACAATGCATTTCATGTTTATCTAAAAGCTTGTAGAGTACTATATCTACACAGTGAAAATGTTTGGTAGTGCAACTCATATGAGCCCTATCACACTTGGATGTGCTGGTGCTAATTTTAATGTTTTCAATGCTCATAAAAACATTAATTAATTCATGACAACTGTGCACCAGCTTACGTGCAGCCCTGGCCTGGACATTGCTTGGCTCCGTTAGTTGACATACATTGATACTATAAGCTGACTAACGTTAGTCTAATGTTATGTTTGACTCGTAAACGACCACAACATGAGTTAGCTCTCTGTGCAGTTTGTTCGTTCCGGGTTAGTAGCAGCGAGATAGCGGTGTTCTGCAGACGTAAACTAGCTACCATTCCAGCCAACATTAAATGCTGACAAACGTTAACTAACACATAGCTGGCGCCGCTAGCTAGGTAGCTAACATTAACTACTAACCAACCAAGCACGAACAAACCGCACAGAGAGCTATAAGATAGTTAGCACTACCGAAGTGCACAGAACTCAAGCTGCACAACACACTACACAAACGTGGAATTAATTTAGCCAAAGTTAGTACTTACTTATCATTGTTCCCTCCACGAGAGACAAGGGGGTGCCTCCGCTTTAAATGCTCCAACATCGCTGTTGTGCTAGTGTGGTATGCCAACTCCATTTGGCAAAGACTGCAAATAACAATGCCTTTGCGTTTTGGAGATGTTTTTGTTTGGGGGCTTTTTGCAGGGCTTCGTGCGCAATCCTGTGAGGAGGAGGTGGTAGCCGTTTCAGTCTCCATAGTGTTTAAAGTGCGATTGCGAACTGCTTGTTGTTGTTTTGGGTGACCCACGTGTGTGTGGCGATGCGTCGACGAGGAAATATGTCGTCGACGATATTTTGAAGTCGTCGACGCGTCGCTACAGCACTAATCTCGAGCCGGTTTCTCAAACTTACCTACCCCTCCTTTAAGAACTACCTGATTGAATTATAATAAGAGGGGAATTCAATGAATTTGATTAATTTCTTGCAAGTAAGGCCAAAAATAAGTCTTCCTTAAAATTAGTTCTATTAATTTTCCCTTGTATTATTTTCAACATTTGCAGTGTGGTTTGCTGCACAACAAGCTGGGACAACTTCTGCTGGTCCTGTAACCCCGGTGGAAAACATTCCACCAGCCCCCCCTGGACCAGAGCAAGAGCCAGAGCCCTCCGGCTCGAGCCGGAGCCGGAATCTATTCTTGAACTTACACCCTCTTTGCTTCACCATCTTTTCCGCTCAGCACTCTTCCTCCACTGTCCTTCTCCTCCTCCCAGCCTCCCCCCTCCCCTACTCTTCTCCTCCATCCTCCCTCTCCTCCCAGCCTCCTCCCTCCCCCTTTGCTTCTCCTCCACATCCTCCCTCTCCTCCCAGCCTCCTCCCTCCCCCTTCTCTTCTCATCCACCTCCTCCATCCTCCCTCTCCTCCCAGCCTCCTCCCTCCCCCTACTCTTCTCCTCCATCCTCCCTCTCCTCCCAGCCTCCTCCCTCCCCCTTCGCTTCTCCTCCACATCCTCCCTCTCCTCCCAGCCTCCTCCCTCCCCCTTCTCTTCTCATCCCCTCCTCCCTCTCCTCCCAGCCTCCTCCCTCCCCCTTCTCTTCTCCTCCCACCTCCTCCCTCTCCTCCCTCCCCCTTCTCTTCTCCTCCACCTCCTCCATCCTCCCTCTCTTTCAACAGATTTGATCAGTCATGCGCCTCCCCCCCCCGACCCATTCCCCCCCTGCTGCACCCCCCATTGTCCACACTGCCTGGAAATGGCCCTGTCACCCCTCCCACCTCTACTCAGCCCCCGGTCATCAGCTCACAGACACCTCTCACATCAGCCCCTGTTTCTTCTCCACCCGCTGACGACACCTTGTCCTTCACAACCAACCAGGTGAGGAGGGAGCTGCAGAAGTGTAAGGCGAGGAAAGCGGTGGGTCCAGATGGCATCATCTCGAGGCTCCTCAAATCCTGTGTGGACCAGCTGTGTGGGATTGTGGAGCTTCTATTCAACCTGAGCCTGAAGCAAGGGAGGGTACCACAACTGTGGAAGATGTCCTGTGTGGTACCTGTGCCAAAGACCCCTCGTCCCAAGGAATTCAACAGCTACCGGCCGGTGGCGCTGACATCACAGCTGATGAAGACCCTGGAGAGGCTGGTCCTTGGACACCTCCGGCCCCTTGTGGGACCATCAATGGACCTGCTGCAGTTCGCCTACCAGCCTGCCATCGGGGTGGATGACGCCGTCATCTACCTGCTGCAGAGGTCCCTCTCCCACCTGGAGAAGCCGGGGGGCACTATGAGGATCATGTTCTTTGATTTCTCCAGTGCCTTCAACACCATCCAGCCCCCACTCCTGGGGGACAAGCTACAGCTCTCGGGGGTGGATCACCACCTCACCTCCTGGATCCTGGACTACCTCACCAACCGCCCACAGTACGTGAGGACCAGGGAGTGTCAATCAGACACCATCATCAGCAGTACGGGGGGCCCCCAGGGTTTCTCTTCACCCTCTACACTGCAGACTTCACCCACAACACTGCAACCTGTCACCTGCAGAAGTTCTCTGATTGGCCTCATCTCCAACGAGGACGACAGGGACTACAGGGAGCTGACGCAGGACTTCACCCTCTGGTGCCAGAGGAACCACCTCCAGCTCAATGCAACGAAGACCAAGGAACTGGTGGTGGATTTCAGACGGCGCCAACACTCCCCCGTGACACCAGTGAACATCCAGGGAGCGGACATTGAGATTGTGAAATCTTACAAATACCTGGGCGTTCATCTGAACAATAAACTGGACTGGACTGATAATTCTGCTGCTCTGTACAAGAAGGGACAGAGCAGACTCTTTCTGCTGAGGAGACTGAGGTCTTTTGGGGTGCAGGGGGCACTCCTTCAGACTTTTTATGACTCTGTTGTGGCATCAGCCATTTTCTATGGTGTGGCCTGCTGGGGCAGCAACATCTCGGATGCTGACAGGAAGAGACTGAACAGACTGGTAAGGAAGGCCAGCTCTGTCCTGGGGAGTCCTCTGGACACTGTGAAGGTGGTGGGAGACAGGAGAATGGCAGCCAAGCTGTCCTCCCTGCTGGACAATATGTCCCACCCCCTCCAGGACACCCTGTCCTCACTGTGCAGCTCCTTCAGTGACAGGCTGCTGCACCCCACCTGTCACACGGAGAGATACCGCAGGTCCTACCTTCCTGCAGCGGTCAGACTATACAACCAGCACAGCCCCTAGTAGACCCCCCCCCATCCCCTACACACACCACAACACAGACTATATGTGACCCGCTCTATCGAAATCAGTCGGAAGTCGCAACGGCTCATTTCAAAATAAACGTGGATTTGCGTAAAAAACTATTTTTTCGGGGTTCGGGTGTTTTGTTTGATTTTAAATAAACAAAGTCTTGGCTTTCAGAATATGAAACTTTTATTTCCAAAATCACACGATAAATACATTTGTGAAGCTTGTAAAGGGAAGATGACAGGCACCTCTCTCTCGCAATCTGCTCTTCCGTAGCGCAGCTCCCCCTCCCTCCGGCTGAAATTATGAATGTAAGGCATATAGTAATCATAGATAACACGGCAGGGTCCGTTACAGTTTGTTTTCATCTGATTTCAATTAAACAAAGTCTTGGCTTTCAGAATATTAAACTTGTTTCGGCAAATGTAGATGATAAATACAACTATGAAGCTTGTAACGGCATATTTACAAGCGGAGAACGGAGTAACTTAACGTCACAGCAAGCATAACAACAGCCGGTGTTTCTCGTGAGTGTTTTCCCCGGGAAACAAACACAATATACACAAACGCAAAAATACACAAACACACACACACACACACACTCGCGAGCTTCCCCCAGACCAGTAATCCAAACGGAAATATTTTCCCTCCGGACTATTTTGATCATTTGCTCCGCTAATAATCAATCAGATTGATGGATTCCAGAGAAGAGGAAACTTTGAAGGCCTTTTTCTCAAAATGATGACTCGGTGACAGTCATTATATAATGTGACATATTTTGCTTAATATTTGGAGTACAAAAACAATCTTGATATCATTAGAAAGCTAGGAATCTCCTCTTTCCAACAGTGTATACAACTCAAAATGTGTCTTCGGGTCAATGCGACTGATTTCGATAGAGCAGGTCACATATCACCCCTTGCTGCTAAATACCAATCAACTATGTGCAATATGTGCAATATGTGCAATATATATATATGCCGTTGATAACTGTGTAATTTATAACTGGCTGCTAAATCCTTAGAACCGTTACAAGGTGTGTTTGTTGCATTTTGTATCTTGTAAATTGTGTAACTTGCTGCAGTTAAATACCATCATACTATGTGAAATATGTGCTATATGTGCAATATATACATGATATACATAATCCATTAATAACTGTGTAATATATACCTGGCTGCTAAATCCTAAGAACTGTTACAGGATTTGTATTTTGGAAAGTATTTTTTATTATATCATAACTTAGTACTTTTTTCTTAACATAGGTAACATTAAGCTGTCTGTGGCTCTTTCCTGCTGTAACGATGCAAATTTCCCCTCTGTGGGACTAATAAAGGTATTCTGATTCTGATTCCTCCCAGCCTCCTCCCTCCCCCTTCACTTCTCCTCCACCTCCTCCATGCTCCCTCTCCTCCCAGCCTCCTCCCTCCCCCTTCACTTCTCCTCCACCTCCTCCATGCTCCCTCTCCTCCCAGCCTCCACCTTCCAAAAAAAGTCGAAGAGGTTCGATTTGCACTATACTAAAACATTTTTTTTTAATTATTGTTTGGAAGACTTATTACCTAATTATTAAAATTGTGTTTTTTATTTTTAGAATGCAGGAAACACAGGACCCAGAAGGTTTTCTTGTATGAAAGCATTGTG